TTAAGGAGGAAAGAAAATGGGAAATATGGTAAAAAAACCAAAAAAAAAATAAATAAAAATAAATAAAAACAAAGAAAAATAAATAAAAATAAATAAAAATAATTATAGCTACTCATCACAAATAAATAATGATGTTTCAGGTTTTTGGATTTTCATGTTACAAGAGGGGAAATTAGGTAAAGAAGGAAAATGGAGGAAAGTGGGAAAATGGGGGAAATGTGTGGGACGTGAAAGTTTGTATAGGGACCGTGCGTCAAGACTTTAACGCTAACTGGTGAAAAAAATTTGAACTTTATGGGGGGTATTTATTAATATTTTATATGGCATTTATTGTTTAATAATTAATAATTAAATAAAGTCGAATTATTTTCGTAATATCATTATCGAAAAAACTTGTTGCATCCGTGGATGTACGAACACATTACTTTGGAAACCTGGATTTCATTCAATAGTAAAGAAATTTTATAAATTTTCACAGAGCAGAATTGTGTCTCACGCCCAATGATATACATAATTACATTACATAGATTGCTTATCCATATGTAAATCAGATGACGAAAAGCGTATTTCACTGGGCAAAGTTTTTTTTTATCTAGCTTTGTATCAATTTTGAGCACTTGAGCATTTACAGAACCGGTTTAGAAATTAGAGTCTTTAGTGTTTTATTGTCATTAAGATTTTTACATATTTAAATGAACATTTTATATAAATATAATTTTACAGATAATTAATGGTTTATTCTGTTGATTAAAACTAACGTAGAATGTTACTATGAAATAAGTATGTCCAATTTGACAAAAATATCATAGCCCTCTTTACAATTTATTAACTATTTCTCATTTATTACTAAAATAAACAAATCATAAATATTACGTACATTACAAGTACTATCAAAAGAGACTGCAACAAACTTTAAAATATTAAAAATCCAGTGATTTTTGTAAATTTTTTTAGTGACATTACCATTAAACATTATTCAAAATAATAGATGTGTCCAATTACAACTCTCACCAAAGTTGTTTATATCTCATATCAAAGTTGTTTACATTTCCTTTTCAAAATTGTATTACATATTGCAATTATGTATTTTATGTAGTGTAATTTCTGAAATGAGAGTAGTCTAAAATTATTTATATCCATCTGTTTTAAAAATTGTTTAGATCTCTTAATATTATTTAACTACATGGAAACTCAACTTTCCAAATACATAATAACGTGTCTTGAAGTAAAACTTTAATTATTTTCTTTTTCAAAAATTAAAATACTGAAATTTTAAATTAAAACACATTTGGGCTAGAACGGCTCTATTTTAGTGAGCACTAGGAAAGGCACATTGCAACCCGCTTTTCGTAATTTTTTTATAGATGGGTGAGCAATCTATAATAAGTATATCATTGGGCGTCTCATAAACGTCAGTGGATGAATGACATTTCGACTAACATAAATCTAAAAAGAATTATTATTATTCCCAATCTTTTTTATTAATTTACATTTTTTAAATGTTATTGTAATACTTTTAAATTCAGTGTTACTATACCGATATTTTGACATTGGATACACTTGTTTAAGGTAGAACTTTACAATTTATTGTCAATTAGCCATATAAATCTTTTTGCTTAAAATGTATATACATGTCCAGATTTTAATAATGTTTTACATTTTATATCATTTTGACCATGTACCGATTGTTTGGTACGGGCCGGTATCTATATTTAACTATATTTAATATTTTAAAAAATATTCTTTATTATTTACTTGCAATGTTTACCCCATTTAATTCTAAAATTAAACACTAGAGAGGGCTAACTTTGGCAGTAGTGCTGCCTCTATATTTCACGCACGGTCCCTATAGTAGGAACTTGAAACTTGGAATTGTAGGTACTCTTCACAAATAAATAAACATGTTTTAAAGTATTTGGATTTTACATATAAAGGAAACAAACGGAAGGTGAAAGTTTGAATAAGACATTTGGTTTTTTAATTGTATAAATTTGAAAATTGGAATTGTAGCTTCTCATCATAAGTAAATAATGACGTATTTCAAGGTTTTTGGTTTTTGACATTTTAAGGAGAAAGGAAAAAGAGGAGTATCGTTAAAATAAAAAAAATAAAATAAATAAAAATAAATAAAAGTAAATACAAATAAATAAATAAAAATAAATAAAAAGAAATAAAAATAAATAAAAATAAATAAAAATAAAAAAAAAATAAATAAAAATAAATAAAAATAAATAAAAATAAATAAAAATAAATAAAAATAAATAAAAATAAATAAAAATAAATAAAAATAAATAAAAATAAATAAAAATAAATAAAAATAAATAAAAATAAATAAAAATAAATAAAAATAAATAAAAATAAATAAAAATAAATAAAAATAAATAAAAATAAATAAAAATAAATAAAAATAAATAAAAATTAATAAAAATAAATAAAAATAAATAAAAATAAATAAAAATAAATAAAAATAAATAAAAATAAATAAAAATAAATAAAAATAAATAAAAATAAATAAAAATAAATAAAAATAAATAAAAATAAATAAAAATAAATAAAAATAAATAAAAATAAATAAAAATAAATAAAAATAAATAAAAATAAATAAATAAAAATAAATAAAAACAAATTAAAATAAATAAAAATTGGTTAAAATGAAAAAAATTTACAAAAATTATTAAAAATTAATAAAAATTATTAAAAATTAATAAAAATTAATAAAAATTAATAAAAATTAATAAAAATTAATAAAAATTAATAAAAATTAATAAAAATTAATAAAAATTAATAAAACTTAATAAAAATTAATAAAAATTAATAAAAATTAATAAAAATTAATAAAAATTAATAAAAATTAATAAAAATTAATAAAAATTAATAAAAATTAATAAAAATTAATAAAAATTAATAAAAATTAATAAAAATTAATAAAAATTAATAAAAATTAATAAAAATTAATAAAAATTAATAAAAATTAATAAAAATTAATAAAAATTAATAAAAATTAATAAAAATTAATAAAAATTAATAAAAATTAATAAAAATTAATAAAAATTAATAAAAATTAATAAAAATTAATAAAAATTAATAAAAATTAATAAAAATTAATAAAAATTAATAAAAATTAATAAAAATTAATAAAAATTAATAAAAATTAATAAAAATTAATAAAAATTAATAAAAATTAATAAAAATTAATAAAAATTAATAAAAATTAATAAAAATTAATAAAAATTAATAAAAATCAATAGAAATCAATAAAAATTAATAAAAATTAATAAAAATTAATAAAAATTAATAAAAATTAATAAAAATTAATAAAAATTAAAAACATGAATAAAAATGAATAAAAATGAATAAAAATGAATAAAAATGAATAAAAATGAATAAAAATGAATAAAAATGAATAAAAATGAATAAAAATGAATAAAAATGAATAAAAATGAATAAAAATGAATAAAAATGAATAAAAATGAATAAAAATGAATAAAAATGAATAAAAATGAATAACAATGAATAAAAATAAATAAAAATGAATAAAAATTAATAAAACTACATAATAATTAATAAAAATTAATAAAATTTACTAAAAATAATAAAAAAAATTTAATCATTTATTTTTTTAAATTATAAACATGACATCATGCGTGCAAAGCCGCGGGTAAAAGCTAGTCAATAAATAATAGTATAATTCGAGAATTGTTGTTGAGGTCTTACTTTCTCGTAAGACACTGTACAAATACTCATATTTAAAAAAAAAATCTCAAAAATTTGCACGGTAAGGTATAGTTAAAAGTTCACTATTAGATAAATAAGGACTTCAACTATAAGAAAATAAAAATTTTAGTCATAATCTAATATTTTTTATTTAACATTGGTGGCGAAAGGGGTGGCGAAAGGACCTCCTTAAGAGAGAAATGTAAACATTCCATTATTGTACTGCTGTATTGCTACAGGTATGTCTCATGGAATCTAACCTCAAATTTGACATAGAGCCCAATTTCGTATTTTTAATGCTTCATTATAGTGTTTTTTTTTATTTAAAAGAAGTGATGTGTTGGAGCAGTTTTCTTGCTTGTGGAAAAAGAGTATCAACGTGCGTTACAAGATTACGAGCCGGCACCACTTATGCAGCACAAATGTTATGTGGAGTCAAATATTCAATACGACAACAACGTCAATTGTGTCTCCGATTCATCAATGGAGAAATCAGCCTACCAAATTCCGCTGTTGTGAAACACATGTGAGTGAAAAATTAGTAATCATCACAAGTACAAGTGCTTGCTGTACTTTTACAAGTTTTCACACAACACTTATCACGATTATTAGAATTTTTACGATCGCTCGTTTCGTTTTTTCTCCACCAGGTGTCATAGCAACATGCATCAGATCCCAATATGTTTTATTTTTCTCATTTTATGTATATTTTTTTGCATAGCAACCCGCGATGGCTAGGTCAGGTAAACTCTTTGAGATATTATAAAGAGATGTTATATCGATGCTAAAGTGTCCCTACCTTTGCATTACACTTTTACGTCATATGTCAAACTCGAAATAGTGGAGCTAGTCAGTTTGGTGATAATAAATGCTATTTTTGTTAAATAGCTTCATTTAAATTATATAAAATCATTTTCGTTCTGTCAGTCTTCAAATATAGAATTATTGACTTCAATTAAATCAAAAAACCACTCAACTCGCCATTTTCGTTACACTCAAAGTGCATCAACTGCCATATCGCAAAATAGTGTTTATATCGTCTCTACTTTATTCTATTTCGATAGGTAAACTAGTTTTAATTTTTTTTTTAATTAATTTCAGTAAACACAATAATAGCGTTTTTTTTGAAACGCGCTATTTGTTTCGGCATTATTTTGTGACATAGCCATTTCGGACTATTTCAAAAGGCGTTATTTTATTAAGGCGCTGTTTTGACCGACAGTGAGTGATATCCCGATTAAAAAAAAAGTTAAAAACCAAATTTATATTTTATTGGAAAACTCAATCTCTACACAAATACGGATCACTAAATTTTAAAATTTCTATTTACATAACAGTTTTCAAAAGTATTTTTATTACACGAAATAAAATATAATTGATAACACATAATAGCTTTCAAAATTTATGGCACCGATAAGTTATCCTCTTCTTTTTAACATTTTAGTTTTAATCAAAAAACAAGGTAACTCACAAATTGTCACAAAAGATCACATTTACTTAAAAACAAAAATATAAACCACTTGGTCTTTCTATAAAGAAAATGTCTCTGTTCTTTTAAAATACGGCTTCTTCTTGAAGATTATTTCGTTTTGTAGGAGCTGATCTCATCTGGAGGACTTGTATAAGATTAGCTTTCTCTCGTTCTAGCGCTGATATTCGTTCACTCTTTTTGCTTACTTCCTGTAAAAAATTAAAAAATATATAAAATCTTAAAAATATACTACAACAATATGGCAATGGCTGGTATTAAGGCTAAATAAATAATCTTGATTATTTTTTGTTTGCAACATGAAACTGAAAAACAGTGGCTACTATTTTCGATTCATAAACCTTTTTTCCATTTTATGCTGATTGTGAATTTCTTGGGATTAGGTTCGGTTTTTAAAGAAAATTCAAAATTATCTAGAGCTATCGTCAATTTTTTTTTAATTATTTAGATTGACACAAGCTGTACTGTATACCTACATAGTAACATAAGTTTAGAAAATAGTAGGTATATCTGTATCAAAAAGTTAGAAAATCAGAATTTCTAGGATTTTTGATAGGCTTTGAAAAAAGCAGGGGAACATACAATTATTACGAGGGTGGATCAATAAGTACCCGTGTTTGAAGGCAGATGGCGTTGCTGAGGGAAGTTGGCATTACTGTCGTGTACTGTCATCTGTCACACGACACCATACATAAATTTCAAACTGATTCATAGGTTGGTTTTTATTTGGCAGCCACTTGTACCATACGTGTTTCGCATTAATCGATAAAATGGAAAAAGAACAATATCGATCCGAAATTCGCTTTTTATTTTTGGATGGAAAAACATGCGATGAAATAAAAGTAAAGTTGGATGATGTCTATGGGGACCATTCACCATATTTGACAACCGTAAGATATTGGTTCAACGAATTTAAACGTGGTCGCCCGGCAGACGTTGTTACCGAGGAAATCGTTAAAAAGGTCCAAGTCATGATTGTCGCAGATCGCCGAACGACAGTGCGAGAAGTAGCAGAGGCCGTAGGCGTATCATACGGAGAACGGCAATTAATATTTTGCATGATAAGTTAAACATGAGAAAGGTGTCGGCCCGATGGGTGCCGCGATTGCTTACGGTGGACAACAAGCGGATACGACTGTCAATGTCAAAGCAGTGTTTGGAGCTCTTTAATCGAAATTCGCAGGAGTTTTTGCGTCGAGTCGTCACCGTTGATGAAATCTGGATACATTATTATACGCCAGTCGAAGCAATGGATTTTTCGGGGTGAATCTGCTCCGAAGAAAGCAAAGACGGTCGCATCTGCCGGAAAGATCATGGCCACGATTTTTTGGGATTCCAAGGGAATAATCCTCATCGACTTTTTGCAGAAAGGAAGTACGATCACAGGGCAGTACTATAGTGAATTATTGGACCGATTCTATGCAAAATTGGAAGAGACACGGCCTCATTTGTCTAAGAAAAAAGTCCTGTTTCACCACGATAACGCACTAGCACATTCATCGAGAATTGTCGCACCCACAGTACTCGCCCGACTTGGCTCCATGCGACTATTCCCCAACATGAAAACGTGGCTCGGGGGAAAAAATTCAGTTCTAACGAGGAGGTTATCGTCGAGACTGAAGCGTATTTTGCGGAGTTCGAGAAATCATATTTTTTGGAGGGGTTAAATAAATGGGAGAAACGTTGGGAAAAGTGTATAGCACTAAAAGGAGATTACGTTGAAAAATAGAAATATTTTTTTTTCTTTTCCTTTCTAACACGGGTACTTTTTGATCCACCCTCGTATATTTTATGTATACAGTATGTTAAGTTTCCCACAATAACGCCAGAAAAACGGCATAGATTAACCGATTCTATTGATTAGACAGAGGTAGAACTGTACGCGCCAGCCCACTTGTGATAGAGGTGTATCCATCTGTCCAATCACGGCAGGCAGTCAGCTGATTCTCGGGAGCCTCTCTTTATTTCGCAAATAACTTTATTTCGAAGGGTTAACATATCGTATATTATGTGATGGTGATGAAAATTCTATTATCATACAAAAATTCTCAAGACCATTTGGATTTTCTTTTTAACAATACGAACAAAAGGTGGTAGTTCAAATAATCTAACATGTTTCAAGGTTGGCAAGTCAATTACTTGATATATTTTTTCTCGACAAAATGAAGCTTGTTCCACCCCTATACCCACTCAAAACGATTTTGCTCATAATATTCTATGATAAGTCAATTGTAAAGGAGTAGATTCCACAAATAGCAGAAAAAGTTCGGCTTTTGTTTGAAGAACTCGAAAAAAAATTGGTGTGGGGATAATGGTTTACTTGTCGGAAGTCACCTAAACTAGCTAGAAAACATCAACAAATCGACCTCTTTGATCGCATGTTTTTATATGGACGAAGATATATTTTTACTTGAAATTTTATTTAATAGTTTAATTATGTACCTATTATTGTGATTTTCTTTTTATTTGGAGATATAAAATTTTATTTTTATTTTTTGAGGTATTATAACTGACATTTAGATTATTTATACATTTAGTTTTTAATTTTAATTTTAAAATAATTTGTTGACGCACATTAGTTTAACAATCTAGAAACAAGAACATGGAAAATTGCTCTGTCGCAAAACAGCGCCGAACAAATTAGCGCAGAACAAATGAGCGCTGACAAAACAGCGTCGTATTCATATCAGCGTCTAGCCAACTAGGCCCTGACACAAAATAGCACCGTACAATAAAACGCTGAACAATAAATACAATTTGAATACATGAACTGAGTTGGTAAAGTATCTAATGGTATTTTCAAAGTGGTGTGACGAAGTCACTAAATTTTGATCTCAATTAATTTAAAAATGTATATTTCAATTAATTCCCGCCTAAGAACATGTAGAAGTTCCCCCGTATTTCTGTTTCCCAGGAATTACCGTTTTTCAACAATTGCGAGTACCCTCGTAGATTAAAATATTCTTATATTTGCCGAAATCCGAATGGGCATTTTGTAGAGTCGATTTCGTACCGATTATCTACCTTTTATTTGTCAAGGTACAATAAGGACATTTTTATATATTTCTAAATTGTAAACAGTCAGCTGTAGTGGTGGTATCCCCCACTCAGGCTTACTGGTCTTCCATCTTGCTTTACCGAAAAGCATAAATTAAATGACATCTGGAAATTACGCCATCTTCTCGCTTGCCGGCCGCCGTAAGCTCTACTCTCTTGATTGCCGACAGCCGAAAACTATTCGCCCTTAGATAGTGCCTAGTTAATGCTCCGTGAGTGTAGTGATTTCGAAAAAAGTTAATTGATTAGCCCCGTTTATCTGCTAAGGTAGGAATCGTATATTATTTTTTTATATTGGCTTTTTATAATTAGTTGGGACACCCGTGTAACAAGTGAAAAATTTTGATTCATATCCAGGATATTTTATTTCATCCCTCAGTGGGAAACCGTTGGCAAATTTTATTTGAGGCTGGACATAGGCTAGACTCCGAGTGCTCTCTTTGTCAACGACTATATCCAATTTATCTTAAAAACCGCCCAGTTAACATCGAAGTGACAGATTCGACCTGTTTTCGATTTTTTTTATTATTTTATTGTTTTTTTTTATTTTATTTTTTCGGAGGTTCGATCCGTTTCCGGATTAGAGTGCTCTCTCTCCTGATGACATTATCTAATTTTCCAAAAGACGTTTAAATTAATTTCCGCGCCCCGTTCCCCGTCCAGAATTAGTTATAGAATGAAACCAGACGACTTCTGTAAAATTAAATTCACACACACGCTCTCGATCGACTCTGGGCAAAATTCAAAATATTATTTTCTACGATCGTCGTGTCCGCCGTTCAAAACACCGCATACATAACCATATTTATCACTAGACGAAAATTTTCGCTTCCCATCGCTTTGTTATTAAGATACGAGGGGGTTCCGACAACTTTGATTTCATTTATTTGCTTGCATTTGACTACCGTCATATTTAAATTGTTTTCAAGTATATTAATTTATTTTCCATAAATTTTCCGTATACTGGGCGTTTCACGATTCCCAGACCGATTAGCCTCCTGTGCTAATGTACCATAAACATTTCCCTATATTTAAATAATTTTCAATAATTTATTTTTCATAAATTTTCCGTATATAGGGATCCGTCAATATTTAAATAGTTTTCAATTGCAATAATTTATTTTTCGTAAATTTTCCGGATATAGGGATCCGTCAATATTTAAATAGTTTTCAGTTATAATAATTTAATTTTATTAGATTTTCCGAATACAGGGAACCGTTCATATTTAATTACCGTTGTATTAATTTTTTTTGTAAATATATATTTTATTACCTATTCCTGTGTTTCTCTTATTACTGGTTCTTAACCGTTCTCTTTCAGGGTACCGTAGGGTACGACCGAGTTTACCTTGAGTACACTCTGGTGTATTTCAGGGTCGCAGAGCAAACTGCGATACCAAAACTGGCGCCTGAGCAACCCCTATTCGGGAATCACCTTCATAGCGCCACATAGACTCGCTGATTCACTGTAGGTGAACCAGAAGCCTGTCACAGTGGCAGGGGGTAACGGGGGTAATAAACCCAAGAATTTTACAACCAAACTTTTTATATTTAATAAAATGAATTATTATCAAGTCTTTAATATTACCACTACCCCCTCAGACTTAAACTTTATTATCACTACCCCCCAGACTTAAACTCTGGTTACGCCACTGCAGTGGGGGTGTTCTAATCCTACACATGCACTCATATAGTTGAATCTAAATCTAAAATAAATTACAGAAAATAGAAATATTTTCCTAGTATCTATTCTAATTACAATAAAATAACTAATTTACCTAACCTGTTTGGCCTAGCCATTGCACGATATATTTCATTTGTTATCTCCATTTTGTACCAGTGCTTTTTTATCCGCCTTTATTTTGTCCAACGCTTTTTTGTGACGGTGCTATTTTGTCGCTGCGCTGTTTTGCCAGCGCTAATTTGACCGGCTATGTTGTGCGACAGATAGCTTAGGTAGTAACCCAACCAGCACAATAACTTAACTAGACTAATTAGGTCAACTATACCCACTTACATACCTAGGTATGGCATGAACATTTGCTATGAAATTTTAAAAAGAAAGAATTAATAATTAAAATATTACTTATTCCGAATTATTCTATAGGCGCCATTTTATTTAACTAACAAAATTTTAATCCCTTAGTCGAATATTTCAATGGACATTTTGCAATTGAAGGGTACAGGGCAAAATTCAACCGAGTCCAAAAATGATAATTTTTCAGAAGAAAGAAAACAAAATTTAAAATAACAGAAATCCGACGCTTTTGTAATTTTATTAGAGAAATATTTTTTTATATTTAGTTCGATATGTATTTTTTTAATAGCTAAAATAGTGTTATGATTATATTTTTATTTCTTAGTTATTTTTTATTGAAACAAAATGTTGACTGAGATGGTTTTTCCTCTGGACAGAAAAAAATATATTTTCTTAATTCTTTATTTCGCTATTGTATACATTTCTACATGATAAAGAAAGTAAAGAACAAAAAAATCTGTAAACTAATGACTGAAATAATCTGATTTCTAAAAATCACTTTGATCATCGGGCACAGCATCATTTCTGAATAACCTACATGTATTGTAAAATAATAAAAATATTTTAAACAATATAAACTTCTCATTTATTCAATAAAAGAAAAAAAATTGTTTTCTTATCGGTCACCACGCTCAAAAAGTGTAACTTGAATTAATATCAAAGAAAAAAACTTGAATTAATATCAAAGAAAAAAAATTCTGCATAAATCAAATAAATAAATAATTATAATTGCATAAGTTGATAAAAAATACTATGCAATAGCTTTACCGCGGCAGTCCCTGAGTGCCACACGTTTTTTTTTTTATTAAAGTCAATAACTTCATTATTGTATTCAACAATTTTTGTTAATTACATGTTTTGCTGACACTCTTTTAATTATTGTTTTAAACAACCCCTATGTATAAGATAGGATAAACTACAACAATAGGCGAAATGTCCTCGAGATAATGGAAGAATACAGTTACTGTAGTACATAGTGTTTATATGATAGAAGCTCTTACTAGACACTAAACAATTAGAATCTAATTAAACAAGATATATTTCAATACGATGAGAAATAGTACCTACTTCATAATAATGGTACGCAGTGCACTACACTGATCAATAATGAAAACCAAAAATAGACTTGTTACAGCCATTAAACTAGTAAAAAAGCAACCAACTTTGACTTGTAAGGTCGTATAATGCCTTAACGGGAGAAACAACATATAACTTGTTCTTAAATGACTTTGTGTCTTTTCATTATTTATATTGTTAACACGTAATTTTTAAACAAATTCATATCATGATTTTTTCTTACCTCTGTGAGCAACCTGTTCTGTTGTTTAAGTCTGTTCGCTATGTCTTGTGGTGGTGGATGTAATGGAGGGTAGTGATTAACGGCTAAATTCATGTGTAGTGGTAAACCCCCTCTTTCCCAACTTTCTGTCAAAGTGGCCAGATGCCTGTTGACTTCTATCACTCGAGCCCTCTGTAGTTCAAGCCTTTCTTGTTGGGCTTCTGACCAGTGTTCCTAAAATAAAAACAATAAATTTGATTATACGTGTTCACAATATTTAAGATTAGAAAATGTAAATAAAGATGAGTTAGCATCAAAAGGCAATGAAGAGGCTGATTTACTAACCTTAGAACGAACCTCAAAGGCACTAATTGGTCTAGAACCATTCTATGGTGTTACAAAGATATGCACAAAGCAGTGGATGTTAAACAAATCTCAGGAATGATGGAAAAATTTACCAGGACAGAGATAAGGCCACAGAGTTCTTAAAAAGACCATCGCCAATGAGGATAGAAAAAATACTAGAGTACTAGTAAGCTTATTAACAGGGCATTGTTGGCATAACAAACATCGGACTGGCAGAAGAAACCTTGTGTCGTTTCTGCCAGGAAGATGATAACATTGAAATACACGTACTGTGTTACTGCGAAGGTCTAGCAGAAGAAAAACAATCAAGGACAACTAGCCACGCCGGAGAGCTACCTTAAAATGGGGAAACTTCGACATGTTTGAATCATATTTTATCTTCTCCACAGGACACTAATAATTTTAGAACCTTCTTAGATCTTAAAAATGTATTTTCTTCCACCCCTACCTTCCCCTTCTTTTTTTAAGTTCTTTTTGGCGTCCAAGTTACCCATGGTCAAGGGATAACTTTGGCACGTTATGTAAATAAGGAAAAATGGAAATATAAGCTGCTTTAGGGTAATTTCGATATAAAAAAAAAATGTAAAAATCAGCATAACTAACAAATCAAAGATATTAATAAACAATCTTTTAGATCTAAATGAAGCAAGTGAGCCAGCATAAATCATATTTTTATTTTGAACTCATGAAAAACATGGTATTAAAATAGGTATCAATCAATAAACTGAAACAAATAAAAAAAAGAGCAAAATTATATGTCAAAAATATAGGTGTCGAAGTTTCCCTCTTTTACGGTACTTCCTATTCTATGGAGTCTACTACAAAAGACCAATCTGGACAAAATACTCTAACCAATGATTATAGGATAACCACAATAGATCTGAAAAGGTCGAGGTGAGGGTCATAGTCATAATCAAATACATATATGGCCCATAGTCATAATCAAATACATCGTTAAACATGACGTATTGTTTTATTTATTGCAAGGGAGGACTAACAACAGAAGATAAATTAAAATATTTACGAAGATAGAATAAATAAAACTCAAAATCAATGCCATAATATTTAGTTTAAAAATAACTAAGCGATTAGTTTCGGCCTTATTGGCCCATCTTCAGGCCTATAATACAACAATGTCCAATATAGGAACTAAAGAAAAATTGAAACAATTATACAAGAGAAAAGTACGGTGAACACTGACATAACTAACTTAATGTATTTTTAGAAGACACTATTCTCTTGTAATATTGTTTCAACGCCATTATATGTTATATTTAAGTATGCAACTTTACTAAATTTTCTTCACATTTTTGTATTATAAGCCTGAAGATGGCCCAGTAAAACCGAAACTAGTCGCTTAGTGGTTTTTGAAATAAATATTGTAGTATTGATTTTGAGTTTCATTCATTATTTCTTCAAGAATACCGATAATTGACATTTGAGAATATGGATAATGTTTCATTCTTAAAATGTGTACGTTTTATTTGGTATTTAGGTAATTGAACTCCCTGTGTCAATTTTGACCATTTTTTTCTTAAAATAATTAGTCTTATTCGTAACTAGGTACTCTAGTGATTCTAGAAGAATAAATAAATAATTGTTTGAAGTTGAACTGCTGAACAGGTAATAATTTGTCAATGTCGTATTTAAATTAGAACGAAAGATCCATTATCTCAAATAAGATTAAATTATTCATTAAGAATAAAAAATTGTTATTATATAGGTAATATACAAGGTGGTCCAAGGAAAAGTGTGCACCTAGCGTTTCCTATTTTCGTAAAGTTTAAAGTAGAAAACGTTAAATTTGCTTTGGAAGACGACACATTTTCAACCGGTTTCTTCAACCTTCTTCAACAAAACAAGTTATAAGACAAGTTATAAGACAAGTTATAAGACGAGTTATAAGACAAGTTATAAGACAAGTTATAAGACAAGTTATAAGACAAGTTATAAGACAAGTTATAAGACAAGTTATAAGACAAGTTATAAGACAAGTTATAAGATAAGTTATAAGACAAGTTATAAGACAAGTTATAAGACATGTTATAAGACACGTTATAAGATAAGTTATAAGACAAGTTATAAGACATGTTATAAGACACGTTATAAGACAAGTTATAAGACAAGTTATAAGACAAGTTACAAGACAAGTTATAAGACAAGTTATAAGACAAGTTATAAGACAAGTTATAAGACAAGTTATAAGACAAGTTATAAGACAAGTTATAAGACAAGTTATAAGAAAAGTTATGACAAGATTATTTTATAAAAAAGTAATGAACTGTTAAATACATTTTTTTAAAGATTTATTAAAACGTTAAGTGTTGAAAATGTGACCCAGTTGCTTCCATACAATAATACAGATTTCGTTCAAATCTATTTCAAACATTTTGTAGCACATCATATGCTCATTATATGTTGGCGAATATCTTCTATAAAATGAATCTTTGTATTAAAACATTTATTTTTCAAGTATCTCTTGTGACGAAGTCACTAAATTTTATTTTTAATTAATTTTAAAAATGTATATTTCAATTAATTCCCGCCTGAGGACATGTAGAAGATCCCCCGTATTTCTGTTTTCCAGGAATTACCGTTTTTCAACAATTGCAAGTACCCTCGTAGGTTAAAATATTTCTATATTTGCCGAAATCCGAATGAGCATTTGTAGATTCAATTTCGTATCAATTATCTACTTTTATTTATCAAGGTACTAGTAGGACATTTTTTTTTTATTTTTAAAATGTTAACAGTCGGCTGTAGTGGTGGTATCTCCCATTCTGGCTTACCGGTCTTCAAGCTTGCCTAGGGAAAAAGCATAAATTCGATTACAACTGATAATTGTCCTCTTTGATTTCCGGCAACCGTAAGCTCTTCTCCACCGACTAGTGAAGGACTCAGTAAGTGACCGTGATATTGTTAGACTACTGAACAACCCCGTTTATTTTTCTAAGATAGGAAACTGTAAATTGTTTTTTTTTATTTACAATTAGTTTGGGACACCCGTCCGACAAGTGAAAGAATTTTGATTCATGCCCAGCACTTTTCATTTCATCCCTTAGTGGGAAACCGTTGACAATTTTTTATTTGAGGCTGGATATAGGCTAGACTGTGAGTTTTTTTCATGTAAGTTTATTTTTCTTTAATTTATTCATTCAATTATATTTTTATCATTCCGTTTCCCGTCAACAAAAAATTATTGAACGAAGCCCGACGTTTTCTATCATAATTAATTCACACACCATTTTGATCGACTTTGGAAAATCTTAAAATAATCTTTTCCTACGACCACTTAGGAAAGTGACACATATCACACTATATAGACCTATGGAAAGTGCCCTATATCACACGCGTATGAATAAGAATTTACTTTCCACCCAAGTGAGAATATGCTACTTTCCGCAGTAGCTGTCAGAAAATGTCAAACACATAATTTCTATTTTGATCTATGTAATGTCCATATTAATGCTAAAATCGATATGATTGTTAAATTATTGTAAATTAGATCCTAGATATTTATCTTTAACAATTATTTTTAAAATAATTTTAAAATAACTAAGATATATTTGCTTTTTATTCTGGTTAAACACATAAGCGATTAGATCAATCAATTACCGTAAGGCCTGTTAGCTCAGTTGGTTAGAGCATCAACTTTGCAATTTGAGACCGTCCAACGACCGCGATCGAATCGAATTTTTTTTTTATTTTTTTTTATTTGTTTTAGAAATTATGAAAATTTAATAAATACGATTATTGTTGATTATTTTTTTAAATACATTTTAATTATTATAATAATCTGGTTTTACATTTTTTGATGAAATTATTTTGTGGTCGTAGGAAAAATATTGTACATCACTTGTGTGAAAAGTGATTTTCCACACTCGTGTGATAGTCGCACTCGGCTTACGCCTCGTGCGACAATATTTCCCACTCGTGTGAAAAATGTCACTTTCCACACTCGTAATGTAATATACTATTTCTACAACCATCGCCTTCGTTGTCCAAACATCACCGTAAATCATATCATTCTCGTTCGACTAAATTGCCAGCGTCGACCGGTCGGAACTAAGATTCAGGGGTAAATATATATTTTATTATCTATTCCTGCGTTTCTCTTATTGCTGGTTCTTTCTTAACCGTTCTCTTTCAGGGTACCATAGGGTACGAGGTTTAAAGGAGATAAGTGTTTTATTTTTTTTATTTATTCTAGTTTAGTGGCTACCTAGTTAGCAGTGGCCGCCTGGAAATATTTTTACCTCCACTGAGTTTACCTTGAGTACACTCTGGTGTACTACAGGGTCGCAGAGCAAACTGATACCAAAACTGGCGCCTGAGCAACCCCTATTCGGGAATCACCATCTTAGCGCCACACAGTCTCCCTGATTCACTGTAGGTGAACCAAAAGCCTGTCACACTCTAAAGAAAATAGTCTAAAGGCGATAAATCGGGCCATTCAATTGGGTCTCTCCTTGTAATCCACCACCGTCCAGTGAACCAGTTATTTAAAAATTCTCTTACTGCAGCAGCATAGTGCGGAGGAGCTCCATCTTGCTGAAAATGAAGCCGATCAAAATTATAATTTGGCCATCTTCTATTATTTTTGTTATAAAAGGGTCAATTACATCTTCAAGCATGTTTAGGTACACTTCACAAATAAAATTTCCAGAAATGAAGTGGTCCTACAATTTGATTACCTAATATTTCACACCAGAGGTTTATTTTTTCAGGTTGTTAAATATGAAACTCATTGAATATATGTGGGATACTGTCATTCAATTTACAGCAATTATGCCTATTGAAGAAATAACCTTTCAAATAAAATGTACACTTATCGGAAAATTAAACGCTGGCTCAATTATTTACAAAAC